TTATTATTATTATTATTATTATTATTATTATTATTATTATTATTATTTCCCAGAATTACCTCAGGGACTACCACATCAACCCACAGGCAGGTTATAAAATAATTAAATGAATTGGGAAGGACGAAGATGGAGGGATGCACAGTTAGTTTTGGAGGCAATCAGAAGTATTCTAACACACACACACACACACACACACATACACAAATACACACACACACACACACACACTCCCAAGTCTCTGGTAGAAGATTGAGAAAGAAATATACCATCAATTCGACGGAAAGGACTGTATATGTGTGTGTGTACATATGGCAGGAGGGAGTTTGTGGCAGATGATTGTCTGTCTCCCCCCCTCTCTCTCTATCTGTATCTATCTATCTATCTATCTATCTGTCATCTTTCTTTCTTTCTTTCTTCCTTCCTTCCTTCCTTCCTTCCTTCCTTCCTTCCTTCCTTCCTTTCCTTTCCTTTCCTTTCCTTTCCTTTCCTTTCCTTTCCTTTCCTTTCCTTTCCTTTCCTTTCTATAGAGCTATGGTGGCACAGTACTGCAGTCTAATTCTGCTGACTGCCAGCAGTTCAACAGTTTGATTCTCACCAGGTCAAGGTTGACTCAGCTTTCCATCCTTCCAAGATGGATAAAATTAGACCCCAGATTGTTGGGCAATATGCTGACTCTGGAAACTGCTTAGAGAGGGCTGCAAAGTAGCGTGAAGCAGTATATAAGTATAAGAGCTCTTGCTATCTATCATACCTCCCCCTCCTTCCTACATGTCTGTCTGTCTGTCTGTCTGTCTGTCTGTCATCATCTTTCTATACTGCCACAAGCTCTTGGCAATTTAACAGAAAATGCATGCCAATAAAATGTCTAGTGTACATTTAAAAACTCATCAAAACCAAGAAACCCAAATGTCAAACCACCGGTGTTGCCATTCCAGAGGACTGGAACTGCTGTAGAAAGGCATTGTCTCTGAGCTTTAAGATCACCAGCTGGAAGATTTAATCTGATGGGCCAATTCTTGTAAACACTGATATTTATTTGCTACAATCTTGCATGCCATTCCCCCCCCCAAATAATACACTTTTCCCAAATCCTTGATTTCCTGTATGCTACTTTCAAAGTAGGCAGCTGGGACGAGGTGATTGGGAAATGGGAGGATGCATTCGAGTTCAATCTATATATCGATCCATGAACATTGATGTTGTCAGAACCTCTGCTAGAGACAACACAATATTCTGCCAAGCAGGGGTGGGATCCTACCGGCGTAACAACCGGTTCGGTGAGCTTTGTGCTACGCAAGCACGCAGAATACTTGCAAAACAACTTATCCCGCAAGCAATCACCATCTCCTGCTGACGTGAGGCGCTCAGCTGTGCTGCACAAAGCAACTAAGGTAAGAATAAAGGACAGCCTAGAGCCCAGGTGGGTGGGTGGGCCCCATCTAAGAAAAGAAGTTCTTCAGTGAGAATCGGTTCGGTGTCAGCTGCTCTTTGGAGCTACCGGTTCTATAGCAGACCCACATCCAAAGTTTTGGACCAGTTCCCCACAGGAGAGTAATTTTATTCTCCTTTTCTGAAGAAAGGCCAGTAGGTGGCAGCAGAGCAAAGCACAGCAGAGCAAAGATTTTTATGTCCAAAAAAAGTAAAGCTTTTGTGTTAGGGAAGAGATAGAAGACATATAAA